TACTAGTAGATTTACAGCCAATTAATTTAGCATTCGTTTATAAAGTGTTTTATTTGGTTTGTTCTACACAATGTTTAATATCAAATGAATACTGAGATTTTATCATGTTTCGTGTCCAATGCTGAAGCTTCAATATTTTCAATCTGAAATCAAGCATATGAAATGTACTCCAGTGTCTTCTTGATGAACATGAGCTTTGATTTCTGTTAGCAAAACTTAGAGTCGGACTTCCATTCGCCAAGCGAGTACAAAGACGGAGGCAGGTCCAATGCCTGAAACATATTCAAGCAACGCCTTGTTGACATTTTCCAATAAAAATAAATAAAATAACATTTGCTCTGGAAACACCTACTGAAGGGAGCTGCCTAAATAAATGCCGACGCTTTAGCTGGCTGCGAAGGTAGCGTTGCCTGTCGCCTGGGAGCATTAAAAACAAGTCTCCGGCGAGGGCTTGGATGGGGGTTGGTGCTTGTGTGTGTGCACTACGCATTTTAATACAATTTAATGTCCCATCGAGCTCCATCATCACCGTCCGCCGACGACTCGCAGGAGCATCAGCAATTGAACTAGATAACATGGCCGCTGCCCAAAAATTCACAAGATTTGCAGGAAGGCGAACAATGGCAATGCTTAGACCGAGGCTAAGGCTAAAGCTAAGGCTACGGCTAAAACTTAAATACTATTTCCGGCGTACGGGCAGCGCTGTATTTTTATTGGAAATCGTTTATCTTAGCTTCTATCGCCTGGCGCAGTGCGAAAACGTGTCCTGAGCCAAGAAGCTTCTGCACTATGGAACACTACGGATATTTTTGTACTAAAACTCAAATTTAATATACCACATAAAAGACCCCACTTGTACTATACACAAATTATATATTTGTATTTGATTATCTTTAATGAACTAATTTAATGAGTAAATAAAAACACTTTGAATTACATAAAAACTTATTTATTTAGTCTTTTTTTTTTAACTAAAAGAATCCAATCATAGCTGCCAAGAAAGTTGTATAAATTTATTTCACTATAAATTTATGAAAATATCAACATATTCCATAAGTAATGTTATATATCATAAATTATATTCATACATTGGAAATATATTTTGTAATAAATGTAATCTGAAGTCACTTTACATAAAATGATATATATATATATAT